TAACAAACTTGCGGCAAACTTACAAGTGTGTGTACGTATCTTTGTCTCTGTGTGTGTGTGTGAGCGTGTGAGCGAGTGAGTGAGACAGTCGAACGAGCAGCGCATACATAAGAGGACCCTCCCCCCCCCCACCCACTCAGCTGAGTGGGTGGCAAGGTGGCGTTGCCAAGTATATAACACCCTTAGAAAATGACCAACACTGACCAGGCCACCAAATGCGACGATGTACGCCCATTAACTGGAGATGAATTCGCCTGGCCATGATTTGTGTTGGGTGTCACACGGTGTGGGGTGCGGGCATGAATCGGCAGATTTCGTCGCTGCTAGCGGAGCCAGTAAAAACAATGGAACATTTGAGCGACAAAAGCAAAAAAAATGCAATTGCAGCAATTGATGGACATTTTTTTTTTTTTTTTCACTCTTCTTGTCGCTAGTTTGGCTACAAGCGAGAACAAGCAACATGAATGTGCAAGTGGGTGTGGACATGCGTCTAGAAACTGGATAGAAGATAACGAAAATTGTACAAGTCAACTCCAGGTGTGACGTTCTTTCACGATCGCTTATATAAACTAGCCTTTGTACAAGGTTTGGCAAACGTTATGAAATATAAAATAAAAGCCTCATTAACAGAAAAATATATTATAATTGTGGAAGCACTTTGAATATCCATTATTTATATATATTAATTACATAACATTTAACAAAAATCGTGGTTACAAAAATTCAATTCCATGTTGATCAAACCTTGCACCACTGTGCAACAAAAACAATGGGCCGCAAAGAAAAAATTGTGCTCTCTGGCAGCAACAACAACAACAACAACAACAACAATGGCACAGCCTGACCAGCAGGCGAATCTGAAGACAAGAAACAGGACGAAAAATACGAGCAAAAAAAAAAAATAAATGCCAGACGGAACTGGACAGACGCAGCGACGTCCACGCAAGCAGCGAAGGTAGCGCAAGAGGGGAAGCTACTTGGACCAGCGAGGACTGAGAATGAAAGTGTACTATGAGTCCAAGCTCTTACACACACAAGCCCGCACATGTATGTGTGTGTGTGTGGAGCAGCTGGGCCATTGTTGGCGGACACTCACACACACACACACACACACACAGCACGTAAGTACGTGTACGTGTGAAGCATTTTTTCTTTGCGCCTCACTCAATTTCGAATTTTTTTCTTTTATTTTGCCTCCTTTTCGCTCAGCAGCGCTTGTCCTGTGCTGCTGTTTCCTTCAATAAGTTCAAAGTGGCAAGCCAAAGCGCGCTCTCACTCACAGAAGCGGGGCGCGCTCACACACACACACACACACACACACACATACACCGACGGTCGCACATACACTGAGACACTTTGGCGACGTGCTGCGGGGCAAAAAAAATTACTCAGAGAGCCAGAGCAGAGCAAAGAAAAGGGAAAAAAAAAATAAAAAACGAAACGAATTCTGCACAGAAATAAAAATTGTTTGCAAGAAAGAATGAAAGAAAAAATCGGAAAAAATGCAAGCCAAGTGGTTGCTGGGCGCACTCAGAGGAGGGGGGAGGGGGCAGTGGGCGAAGGTAGCAGCATGCTGGCTGTTGGGTGTGCCCGCTATGTCTCCAACACCACCCCACCCCCCCATTAACTGGGTTGCTGCTGCCGCTGCCATCGCTGCTTTTGCTGCTGCTGCTGCTGTCCAACGTCGCGGCCGTCGACGTCTGCCGCTGCTGCTCTGCTGCGCCCGCCCGTGTGTGTCAGTTTCAGCTGCTCACATAGTTGGCCGAAGATAAAGGTGACGTTGATGGCAAAAGGGGGAAACAATGCAATGGGGCCAACAAGGGGCCCGGTACGGTAGGGTAGGGTAGGGGGCTGGCGATGGGAAGACCCTCAAGTGTTGGCATGCGAAAAAAAAAAAACACACACACACACACACACACAATAAATATAGCCAAGCACATGGCGTCGTTGTCGCAGACATGCATGTGTACATGTATGCATGTGTGACACACATGCATACATATACAAATACACATGCATGCAGCATGCTCATAAGCGCATGTAGCGTGTGTGTGTGTGTGTGTGCTTAAATATGTATATGTAACGGCTTTATGCCTGCGTGTGTGTGCGTCTCGCTGTTAATCATCTACGCGCGTATGTGCTTGAGCGAGAGAGAGAGAGAGAGAGATAGAGCGAGCGAGCTTGACCACATTAGCTAAAAGCATTCCACGCAGAGCCCAGCATAATTAACGCTTAGCAAAAATCGAATCTAAGCTTAATTCGAGAAAAAAAAACCGCACCAATGTTGAACAAAAAAAAATTAAACTAAACCAAGTGGCAACACTGCCATCGCCGCGTTCGAAAGAGCTAGCAATAGCACGCACACATACACAGACACTCAGCCAAAGTCCAGTTTGAGGTCCAGTCGCAGTCAGCAGCCATACAACATTTTTCAAGGCGATGCAGACGCGCCAAAAAAAAAAGGGGGCCACCATGCAAAATCACAAAAACAACAGCAGCAACAACAACAACAGCAACAACAGCAGCAAGAGAAGCAGCGCCAAAATACGACGAACGCACCAGGCGCTGGGCAAGACGAAGCGACGTCAACGTTGACGTCCGCAAAGCTTCACATACTAAGCGACGCCATTGAAGTTGCGGTCGACGGCGACGACGACGCACAACGGCAAAAACATTCAAAAGTACAAGGGCAACTACAACTACAACTACAACAACAAGAACAGCAGCGAGACAGAAAATATAAAAATGGGCGAAAAAAAAAAATTTATACATAAAAGTGGTGGCAAGCCGACACGAGAGCAGGAGCCAACACGAAACTCCAAGAACATGTGCAGAAACAACGGCGACGACGATGACGACGAAAGAGATACAAACAAACACAAGCTGTGTAGCTGTGTGTAGTTGCCACCCGCTTTTCCCCGCTTGCTCCAAGAGGCGGGTGGGTTGGTGGTTCGCCCTCACACAGATGGCCGGCAAACTTTTGCAGCGAAAATAAAAATGGAGCGCACGTTTGTGACAAAAACAAAAAGCAAAAGCAAAACTTGCAGCATGAATGGGAAGTTGTCGCCGTCGCCGTCGCCGTCATCGTCGTCGTCGTCGTCGGCTGCCCGCCGTCTGAAGGCAGCGCGCGCTCTGCTGACTGTGTGTGAGGGTGGGCAGCCGTTTGAGCGTTGCGTCAGCTTGAGTTTGAGTGTTTTTTTTTTGTGCCTCTGTTGCTGGCCAACGACTCAAGCCGGCTTCGCGTGTGCATTGAGTGAGCGCTAATATGCTGAGTATGGCAGAAGCGCAAAGAGCACATTAATGCCAGCCACCAGTGTAAGCAAAAGGTTGGTGACTTGGCTAAGCAAAAATGGTTGCTGCTCAAAATAAGTTAATGCGTTAAGTGGATAATTCGTTAAATAAACTTCGTTAAAAATGTCTTATTTTTGGGCGAATATTTAAAGTTATTTAAAAAGATTTTACAGATTACAGTTTATAATAGACAAAAAAAAACACAAAGCCTGCCCAAACACGCAGTTATTAAACCGTAACTGCGTTGATAACATTAAAGCAATAACTGTTTTTGCAATGCTTGAACTAAAGAGCTGCATAAATAATCAATATTAATTAAAAGCTGCTCACATTCTTTATCAAAAGCAACCAACAACAACAGCAACAACAACAACAACGAGAACAACTACTGCAATCAACGGTTAATGAAGCGCACAAATGACAATTACAATGCCGTTCGTCAAATGCAAAATAGCGCAACATCAATGAAGGCAGCAATTGGAGTGCGGGGAGAGAGACACACACAGAGAGAGAGAGAGAGAGAGAGAGAGTGACGGCAGGCGCAACAGGAGAGCTGACAAACCTGCATAGATAACGACCCTGGCAATAATTGTGGGTGTATATGCATGTCACTGTGTGCGTGTGAGAGTGTGTGCGTGTGCATGCTTGTATTTTTGTATGTTTGTATGTATGTTGCTGGCGATCAATTTAAAAAAGATAAACACGCACACACACACACACGAATGCTGCTGCTGCTGCTGTTGTTATTGTTGTTGTTGTTGTCAATGAAATTGTCCGACCGAGGCAGCGAAAGGTGCGGAATGTCTGTGTAAATGGCTTACATAAATAGTTACCGTTTACATACATATGTACTGATGTGTGTGTGTGTGTGTATAAATAGACATCTATTGAGATATGAATAGGCAAGAATTGATAAAGATAATATAAAAAGGCCGCCGCAGCTGCAACAGTGTGCCAAAGGTGCGGAGCACATGCGGTTGTACTTTCCACAGACTTTTCACTTGGCCAAGCAGCCACAACAAATATAAATATAAATAAAAACCTATACACAAGGCGATAACTTTGAATGCACTGAGAGAAATAGTCAAGCGATAATTAAATACCTTGTTAAATTTCTTAAATGTATGCGAGTATTGCAAATACACTGAAAGAAATTGTAGCCCAGTCAACGTAAAATCATCAGAAACAATACGCAAGACTAATATATTTATCTATTTATCTATCTAATATCTATTTATATTTGTACATTCGAAGAAACAGTAAACCAGCCCAAGATAAATATTTGTCTTTGATGTAATTCCATTTGCACTGAGACAAATAATTAACTACACTAATAAAAATGTTTAGGCAATAACTCATTTTAGATCCCAATATATTTCCCTATTTTATACCAAAAAGTTCCCTCTATTTAGCGATGTGCCGTTCCAGCAGCATTCAAATATCATTTGCTAAGCTCTTTACAGGGTATTTCATGGTCAAGCAGCGTATGTAATTAGCTGCTAAACCAATTTCCATATTGATTTTCAATTAAAATCAAAATACGTTTCGAACTGAAGGCATTAACGAGCTCCTCGAGTTCTGTTTTTCTGAGTCCACAAATGGACTACGAAGGTTGTGCATTAAAAATGCGTAATTGCAACCTTTTTGTTAAAAACTTGGGCCAATTATTTAATTAATTATTCAAGAGGCAGTCGGACAGTCGCACTCACCTGTAGGTCCGATTCGGTTACGTCGATTTCGCCGCGATAAACAAAATCGATAATTGTTTTCAGATCTGTGAATATGATGTCGGCGGGTAGTATAATCGTTGGATGCTTGCACGGGTTCTCGAGCAGCAGCTTTTGAAAATACGTCGAGCAGGCGGATAAAACAACCTGTTGCCAAAAAAAAAGATGAGAACAAATTCAATTATTGAAAAGCAAATCAAACATTTAATGGAAATGCATACGTTAAAATTGTCTATCGATAGCTGCACATATCGATATACAGATATATTAACAAGTGCACGTTACCCACCTTGTGTGCCTTGAGCGAGCCATGCTCACAGGACAAGGTCACATCGACAAAGGAGAGATCCTCGCGCAGCTGCTGAAACACTGACGTCATCGTGTTCTGATAGTTATTCCAGCGTAGACTAAAGTATTGATGTCCCCGCACGGCAGCCATTTTGTATGTGAGAGAGTCTTTCGCTGTGCCTTGCAATTGCAGTTATTATGATTGGCGTTCTTATTATTGTTGCCCCCCTCTCTCTCCCTTACACTCTCTCTCTCTCTCTCACACTCTCTCGCTCTTTTACGCGTTCACTTTCGCTGCGGTGCTCAACACGCACAGCGCCAAAAGCTCAGTGCTACGACGACGACGACGACGACGACGGCGGCGACGACGTCCTGCTGCTGGCAGCGCTGCAAAGATGCAAATGCGATTAGTTGAAAATTGAAAGTAAATGTTGTAGCTTAAAACAACATAATATATATATATATATGTTTGCGCCTGCGCACGCACCACATTCCAGTTAATGCGTACGGTTTTCGCTTGCCCAGCGCCCATAATAAATACGCATTTATTAATTAATCACACAGCAAATTGATCGATAGACACAACAACAATAACAACACAACTAACAAATGTGGCGGCCCGTTGCAACCGTTTTTTTTATTTCTGCTTCTATACCAAACGCAACGCCAGTTGCGACTGAGCCAGCTTTTTGAGGCAGAGTCTCGGATGCAAACGGCCGCCTGCTGGGGCAAGAGATGTAAAAGGAGTCCATTGTGCGGCGCATTACAAGTGGCGAGCACAGAGGAGCGCAAACTATGCCTGCCTCCCAAAAAATGAAAACAGGTAGTCGTTAAGTGTGACCAGAGCCCGACTTGGTCATACCCTGTAAATAACAGTTAGATGTGCTTGTAAGAAACTGCAGGCAACGCGCGGCAAAGCTAACAAAATCAGTGTTGCAAAACACAAAGAACATTTATGCTCAAGCTTAAAAAAGATATTTGGTATTATTAAAGATAGTTACTAGTGAAATTCTATAAGTATTTCTTTTTTTTTAATGTATTTATATGTTCCATATTAGAGGAACCTTAAGATATGTTATATTTTTTAAGGATATTTTTGTTTGTTTACATTTAGTATTCTATACCCTACATTCCAGATAGACATTTGTAAATTCAAATTAAATAACAGGGTATTGTTGCTTACAATCTACAAGCGAGTATTTGAGGGTATTCGACTAGAGAACGATTTAGAATAATATTCATATTTATTTAAAGGATATTTTTGCTATTTAACTAGAAACGTTATGATAAGACCTGCAATCCAGTTAGCGTTTTCTCAAATCACAGGGTATTATTTCTTACAGACTATACGAAATTTTAAATTTCACATTGACCATTGTCAATTCAAATGAAATCAAAGGGTATTTTTGCATTCAATCTATTTTTTCATCTACAGAGAGAGAGAGAGAGAGAGAGAGGATGCCTTGATCCCATCCAATTTAATGCTTAACCCTTGGCAACACCTCGCCTTAGTCGATTTTTGCAATAAAACTTTTTGCATGTGGCCCATTGTCGCGTTGCGTTGTTGGGCTCTGTCCGTGGCTTCAATTCAGAAAAGTTTTTAGTTTTGCGCATGAAAATGTAAAATGCTGCCTTCTGCCTTCTGCCCGGGCCAAAGAAAGAAAACCGAAACCAGTTTCAGTTCAGTTCGAGCTGAAGTTTACACTCTTTACATTTTTATTTTTTTTTTATTTTTCGTAGTTCTTTTTACGGATTTCAATGGCACGTACAACATCATCATGTTGTTGCTAGCTGGGCCATTGGTATTGTCAAAAAAAAAATTAAAAAAAAAAAGAGAAATAGGAATGCTGAAAAGGATGCTGCTGCTGCTGCTGCTGCTGGCTGTAAGGACCGAAGCTGCGCTAACCAATGCAGTTAATAGAATTTAGGCGACGTGCAACTCGTTGCCAAAGGGGCAGAGGTAGGAATGTGAAGCGACTCCAGACATAGGCACAGACACAACAACAACAACAACAACAACAACAACGAGAACAACATACAAAAGCAACATTGACTTGCAGCTTTAACGACCGCAGCGAATGTTACATTTTAAGCCCATCGAGGATGGTACGCTGTTCACGACAGCTGGCAAAAGCAAATACAAAAAAGCAAGCGCATTTAACTCGAAATAGATTTGATTTAAGACTCTTTGCTTTTTGCATAATTAAGCTGCTGAATTTTGCTTGAGCAAAATATGATCAGCGTACGCGCCTTTAAGCTTGATATCATGAGCTGCATTGTTTTTGTTGTTGTGCTTTTCGTTCAAAGCAATCGAATGCAGTTTGCGAAGCAGCCCAAAGAAGAAGCACATGCATATATGAAAGAAAAATGAAAAAGAAAAACGGTAACGAAATCAAAACAATAAAGCGCGCACCAAAATGGAATGCCGAAAAACCAAGAGGAAAGAAATAATACAGTGCTGCCACCCCACTTGCACGCTCCACAAAACGTGTTGGATTTGGTGGGGGCAGAGAGCACAACAGAGAGAGAGGAAGAGCGAGAGAGAGAGAGAGTAAGACGAAGCGGAGAGAGCTTATAATCAGTTGTGCATTTTATGCGGCCTGTTTGTTGTTTTGATGCCGTTTCTGCTTCTTCTCCATTTACGCGACCAATCCACGTTTTTTTTTTTCTCTCTTTTTTATTCTTTTCGCTATTGTTTGTTGGTCCCCTGTTGCTCGTTGTGTTCGTCTCACACACACACACACACACACACACATGCACACTCGCGATAGAAGTCAAGTTGCCGCCTTTTGGAGCCGCTGCTCGCTTCGTCGTTTTGCTTTGCTTGTTTGTTTGCCAAATGGATTTTTTTTTCGTTTCGTTTCGTTTGCTCTTGAATTTTGGTGAACAGTGTGATTTGTGTGTGTATTCAATTGGGCATATAATGTTATCTAACATTAAGTTTGTTGCATTTAAATTAAAGCTGCTTAAGTTCTTATTGTCTGTTGGCTGCTTATTTGTTTTATCTATGCTTTCAATTCGCAATTCAAATATTAATGGACATGACTGTCCGTGCGCGCTGCACAGTGGCACACGCTATTGGAAATCAAATCAATTACGCAGTCACATTATAATTAAAAGTCAATAAGTTCAATTGCCTTCATACTTCGCAAATAAGTTACAAATATGTCCAACTATAAGTAGTTGTTATGTTCAACTAACTAATTATGCCACATTTTAGATGTTAACAATAACATAACTGTTTTTATTCCACTGTGGCGTGTTAGACTTGGCAGCCGCTTCATTGCGCCTTGACTATGCATGAGCAAGCGAGATAGCTGTTTTGCACGTTGACGCTTGCATAAGTATTGGTGGGCGAGTGTGTGCATGAAGTAGATAAAGAAGAAGCACAAGACAAATGACAGACTAAAACAGCGCTGATGCGGTGGGTGAAGAAGCAAAGAAAATGGATTTTAAACATTTTTGTTTTGATTATTATTGTTCTTGTCGCACAGCAACGAGGGGGCAAAATTTTTTGAAGTAAACTAGAGAGAGAGAGAGACAGGGAGAGGGCGAGTGCGAATGCGAGCGTATTAGAGGCCGAAGTGCAGGTGGCATGGAAATGTGCACGGCATACCCCCTCCCCTCCCCCGCACGCTCACTTCCGCCACATGTAAATAAATGTAATGCTTAATATAGTCGCAATTGAAATCAATTGAAACGTGTGTTAAATTTGTGTGTTTGTGTTTTTTTTTTGTACCGTTGCTATTATTATTTTTAGTTTGTTGCGTTATTGTTGGTTTACCTTTTCGTGTGTTGTTGTTGTTGTTGTTGTTGCTATTTATATTTAAATTTGTCGCTGCAAGCGTAGATCAGCGCTGTCGTTGCCGCAGTCGTTCAATTTGTTGGTTTTTTGCATAATTGGTTGCACACATGGCGCGCACGCAATATGTCGCCTAATTGTAGAATAGTCAGTCAGGTATTTCTTTTGCCGCCTTGGCTGCGCTGCTGCTTTACTGCTTACGTTAACGTTACGTGTTCGCCTGTTACGTAGTGCACGCATAGAGAACGCGATTACAGTAAGCGGTGCGTTAGTTGTTGTTTTTGTTGCGCAGTTTATCGGTTATTTTTATGCACATTTTAGGCACGCACACACAGAGAGAAGCTGACAAGCACACACGCACACAGCTTCTCAAGAGAGAGAGAGAGAGAGAGAGACACACACGCATACATGCACGCTTGCAGAGTTTACCGCCAAGTTTTATTTCGTACTTCTCTTGATTTTATTTTATTTTTTTGCACTGTTAATTTTTGGTTTTATTTTTATTTCCTTTCGTTTATTGGCTGCTGTCCGTCCCGCTACCTTTCCGCTTTACGTTGTTCTTGCCCGCTCACTCACACACACTCACGTACGCACACGATTGTAGCCACACATTCGACTCAATTGGTTTTTCAGCTGCTTTTTCGTAATTTGCAAATAGTTAATTTATTCTATTTAGCTGGCCATCAATGCACAACCGATTGCACTTTGGTCGTTTCATACTTTAAAATTGCATTGCCTTTTGTTTTGCGCACTTTTTTTTTACATTAGCTGACTCGCGTTGGAATTTCGCTGGCAAAACGGAATTTAAAATAATTATTTTTTCCACTCGTCGTTCATCGGAGGTTTGCTCGTGTTCGCCATTTTCGTATTCAATTGGCCTTGCCAGACTGTTTTGCTATGTTTACGATGCCAGAGAAATCCAACAAAATGTGATTTATGTTTAACTATCACAAGCGAAACCTAACAAAAATTACAATAACCTGCTTAAATCAATTTAATATATTGTAATTGCTGTTTAAATTTTAAATATATTACATGTCGCGCTATCAATGCCAACAGCTGGCAACGTTTCGGCTTTCGAGAGTCTACCTGTCTCGCTTGTTCGCATTCTCTTTGCCGTTTTACTTTTGTGCTGTTGCGTTGCACACGAAACAGCTGGAATGAAATGTGCGCGCACAATTTGAATTCGAGAGTAAAAGAGAAAAACGTTGCTCTTAACATATTTTTTATATGGCGGCTATTTGGCAAAGCAACAATCGTGTCTTCCATTAATTTTAAATGTATTAAAAGTATTTGAGCACAAATCGTTTGAGATTTTATTAGATATGTGCTGTGTACACACTGTCAAACAGCATTGCCAGATGTGCGATGAAATACTAGACTCGGCACAAAAGCTAACTGCTATAAAACGAACAATAAGTTTGAACTTGTATATCGATAAGTTGGCGCCTCTTATTCAAATTTAAATTTGTGAACTGAAAAATAACGAAAATTGATTAGAAAGAGACGCAAATAGTTGTGCACTTCACATCAGTTTATAATTTATTGGCAAGTTAACTTGACTTTTGTAGCTCGATTTGCATGAGTTGGCTTAAGGTCATATTATGCTCCCTATGAAGTCATGCCACAATGCTGTCATAGAAAGTCTGGGCCTGGCAAACGCAGCAAGACTTGAATTATCTTTATGTATTTATAATAAGCAAATAAATATTCGTGGCCAAAAGTCGACATTTGCATAATGAAGGCGAAACAATTCAAATGAGTTGCAATTTTCTGTTGCTGAATGCGAAAGTGACTTGCATATGTGTGTGTGTGTATGTGTGTGTGTGTGTGTGTGTAAGCATGACTTGTGGGTGCGGAAGTGGGTGGCGAGACCATAAAAACGCGCTCAACTAACGCTATTTGAAGCTTTCGATGGATGGGCTGTTGGCGCATACAAAGCGACTCATTTGCAGAAAGAGACAAAGAGAGAGAGAGAGTGAGAGAGCAAGCGGGACAGACACACAGAGAGAGAGAGAGCGGGTAAAAGCGTTGCCCACGTGAGCGCAATTTGGAGTATGGGTACTCGCTCTCTCATATGCATTAAGCTAATTGACATTCATGAGCATCAAGGCTGAATACATTAAAATAATTGCATATTCTCACTACTCGCTCTAGCTCTAAACAACAACAACAACAGCAGCAACGACAGCAACAACTGCTTGACTTGCATAATTGTTACATTGATCGTCGCAGTAGATTAATTTCAGCTATTAGTTAACATTAATTGACATTATTCAAGCTTTTCACATGTTGTTGGAAAAATCGATCGAATTTGAAACTTACATTTCAACCGAATGCGCAGGCTCGCGTCGAGCAGAGCTGGAGACAGAGACGAGGGCCGACCTCGCTAGCATTATGCACCTATGCATTTATGTAGTACACACACACACACACACACACACACACACTTATAATTACAGCTAAACATTCGCCCCCCAAACGCCCACATTAAGAGAAGCGTAAACAAAACAAAAGATCCCCCACGCCAGAGCAGCAACAGCCCTCGCAGCGAGCTTCGACGCCGACAGCGCAGCTTTAGCCATGCGTATGCATGTGCGAGTGTGTGTTTGGGATCAAAATTAAAGCACGAAGTATTGTGCACCATAAAACGAAAGCTGTGCATATTGAATGCGCGTGAGCATGACCCAACAAGAGAGCGGGATATATGCGAGTGCATTAGAACACAAGAACGCACACACACACGCACACACAGCGCAGCACAGAAAAGCTTCCCCTAGTTTACAGCTGCTTGAAACAATTAATGCATATTAAGGTCAGCAGCAGCGGCAGTGACTGCGGCAGCGACCGCCCTTTTTGACAAGCTCGGTCGCTAGGTGGCGCCATCGGTTCTAAAACGAGCACACTTGCGGCTGCATACAGACATAAGACCATACATACATACATACACACGTACTTGAACATTAATGCAGCAAACTGTGGCCGCTAGCTGGCGCCAGCAGTCCCAAAACGAGCACAAATCCGGCCTATTAATGGATATACATACATACATTTGCATACATACAAGTGCACATGCATGCACACGTACTTGAAAATGAATGCAGCGCACTCTAACATGATGTGCAATAATGACATACTCTCACATGCTCACAACCTAAACTGAAATTGAAAAGAGAAAAAGTTAACAGCAACAACAAAAAAAAAGTAGACACTTTATTGGGCAGCAATTGACGTCATTGAAACGCTTTTCTATGAAATTGCCTGCTCGCACACATGCTAAACATGCGATATGCACTTGCAATTTGAAGTGTGTGTGTGTGTGTGCGAGTGGGCAGCATGCGTTAATGTATTGGTGCGCGTGTTGTACGGCATGTGTGCATTGCATTATTCTTGTTTAGGCTTTCCATGCGCACTCTCACTCACTCACTCGCTCAACTACTCCCCCCCCCCCCCCCTCATTCGCCCGCTACCCATCCGGTGCTTGGCAAAGAGAGTGCGCCAGGAAGCTTTTGTGCATGCGTGTGTGCCCGTGTGAGTACATAAGAATTTAATGTCATAAATGCATAAAATTGCAGCCATGAAATATTTGTGTTCACATGATAGGATTTATCTATTGTGCGTATGTATATACACATACATGCATATACATAGTCGTATATATATATATATGTATATACTGTGTGCCATATTCATGGACTCTCGCAGCGCTCGTGAAAACCTGCCCTAGAACTGTTGATTTTAGTTTTTTATTTTTATAGCGAAACCTTAATATGCAAAAGTTCTGAGCTGCGGCCAGGTGTTGGCTTTCGAGCAACTGGCACGCCCTCGCCCTTTTTTAACTAGCCATGGAATGTGCTAACAACAACAACAACAACAACAACAACGATATACGCCTACTTACAAAGCTTTTTCGCTAACATGTGATGCGATCTGCTTTACTGTATTGTTGTTGATTTTGCTATTTGATCTTTAGCTTAACGTTTCGAAGCTTTTGATGCTGTTGCTGTTGCTTGTGAAACCCAAACCCTTATGGGATGTAAGCGCGTATGTATGTATGTATGCATGCATGTATCAATGTTGATCTAACGGAAGTGAGAACATACGCAAAACGTAAGATAATAACAGCAATTATTCATTTGTCAAAGTTTTTGTAACAGATAAGTTATATGGTTTGCAGAGTGCAAAGTATATGTATGTATGTTAAATACATACATATGCATGTGTATATGTGTGTGTATGCCTGGTTTTTAGTCTAACTTAGATACTGTGTGCAATTGGAATGAGTCACATTCAGTAATTTACAGTGAAACACTTTTAACTGTGCCTGCAGTTCATTATCATTAGCACATTACATAAACAACTGTGGGGCTTAAAAAAAAAAAAATAAAATAAAAATTGCTGGCAGAGCTTGTTTTCATATTTATGTGTGTGTGCAAATGTATGTGTGCTAGTATTTATGATCATCGAAAAAAGGTTTTGCGTGCAGCTGCTTATCTATTCTAACTTGCGCTTGAGCTTTTGGCGAACATTTGCAGTAAAAAAGGAACTGGAACTGGAAAGCCAATACACTTAACCAAATTATGCACTCGATTGTAATAGATTAATAAATATGCAAATTTTATAAGATTTATTTTCGAATGATAATGGAGACTACTTGATTTGAAGATGGATGTCACTGGGAGTTTCTTATATATATCTACAATTATTTTTCTTATAGAATTTTCTAAATTTGTGCTCTGTAGATTTTTATCTGTAAGACAGCTAATATATAATAATAATATTAGCTAAAAGAAGTTTTATATATATGACCTGTTAAAAACTAATTATTTTTCTGAGTGTTAAACATGCTCAAGCCGAAAGCTTCTTATTGCAATCCAACGGTAAGATGTCTGATTCAGCTTAACCCAGCTTCAGCTTTTATCTACCGCTGACAGCAGCAGGAGCAGCGCAGCAGCAGCGCAGCGGCAGCGCGTTAACCACGAACTCTTGTTGTAGTTCTCATTCTTGTTGTTGTTCTTGTTGTTGTTGTTGTTGTTGTTGCTAGAAGATGTGTCACACATCAAGCTAACCACATCATGAAATCGGATTTAGCTTTAACCGTTGTTCGCCTTGCACATGACATAATGCACGCACATATGTACACATTTGGAGTTTCAGTACAAGCAGTTATTTACATTAATGCAGTTTATTTTGTGCCCTGTTTCTAAAGCTTTTTAACTGTAATTCTTGGCTTGGACCTAATTAAGTAGCGTATGCTAATTTTAGAAAATGCAAAGCCATGCCAACACATAATACCCTCGTCCCTCTCTCACGCACACACACAGACGCACATAAGTTCATGTAGCAACAGAAGAAAAGAAAAAAAACGCACACATACTTCGTGGCGCGCTCACAGCTTGCGCTCTCTCACGACGCTCTCGTCCGTTTTAATGTGGATCTCATGTCTGGCCCAGCGCCTCCCACCCGACGCAATCCGTTTACATTGTACATAAATGCTGGCAGCGACGCCGACGTCGCCGTCGTCGCCAACGCTACCCTAAGCCTAAGCCTTAGCCCAACGCCGCCGACGCCGACGCCCTCTGCTCGATCTGCTGCGTCGACAACGTTTTTAGGGTAGGTTTTCTGGTATTCTGGTTTAGCTCTGCATTGTTGCTGTTGTACAAATACATATGTATGTATCTATGTATGTATGTATGTATGTACTTTGGCCCTGAAGCTTTATTTGCTTCAATCGATGCCGCCCCGCCAGCAGCAACCCCACAATTTAGGGTGGAAACCCGTGTGTCGGATCATGAGCCAAGCCGAACGTTGCGTTTAGGGTTTCACAATTGTTGTTGCGGCTATTACTGTATTATTGTTGCCATTGTTGTTGTTG